GGAGAGAGAGAGAAGAGAGGAGGGAGAGAGAGAGAGAGAGGAGAGAGCATTTTGGCTGTATAATTCTCTTTTACTAACACGAGTATGTTTTAAAACAAGCCTAACCCTCATGTGTGTGCAAGATTAATTTAGGGTCCTTCAACAAATTAACTATCCTCTTGCCCTCTTTGTAACAGGACTCCTTTCTTAACCTTTCACTATTGATGAACTATATTAGAAAGGGTTGTCACTACCAGGTAATCGCTTTGGCACAATGGGAAACCAGATTATCAAGAGGTTTCTTCTGCGAATATCTAGTCAAGGAGAGCTGTCGGAATCACAAGGGCTCATTTGAAATAATTTTTTTTAAAGGATAAGTAATAGAATCTTAATATCCTTATAAGGAGTCAGCTTTACTATGTCGACACTGAACATAGTAGCTCACTTCAACTCTGTTATCATAAATACTAAATGTTTATACAAAATTTGTGTTAGGTGATTCAGTATATTGCCTGCATGGCGACTGAATAGATATTTTTGTATTTTTTTTCTTTCCTTTGTCATGACAACAAGACTGTAAAGGGTAAATAAAGTGCTCAAATAACCTGAAATTGTTTATTACTTGAACCAGTAGAGAGGAGAAGCGGTGGCTGGTACCCAAATGTGGTGAATGTGGTGTTCGAGGCGGTGGTTTGCGGTGTGATGGTGGCAACGCCTGACAGACGGAGATTCTCTCTCATCCCGAGGCAAAGTTTTTCATTATTATTATTTATGAAATATGGTTTTAATTGGTTGGTTGGTTGGTAGGATGCCCCCTCCAGGTCGGCCCAGGGTGGCGGTGGTGGTTGTTGCTGTAATATTAATACAGTTGTTGTAGTAGTAATAATAGTAGTGACGCGGCTCAGGTACGCCCCCTGCGACGTCGACAGCGGCACTAGGCACACGGTGGGAGGTGCGGGGGAGGCGGGTGGTAGATGCTTTGTACATGGAGGCGCCGCGGGAAGTCCAGGAGGTGGACGCACACAGGCCAAGTGGTTGTCGTGGCAGTTGAATCTGGTCGGGGGTTGAGAGAGTAGGGGGTGGGGCGACAGGGGTTGACTTGAACCACGTAGGCCTACAGCTGCTACGGAGACATCCTACAGTGGATGATGGGGCCAAGTGGTGCTTTCTTGGAGGTTGAGTGGTCAGACGAACTAACCAATGGAGACCACGCAGGGACCGATTGGCCAGAGAGGTTTTGGGGATGGTTTGGGGGTTGGGGGGTCACAGAGGCACCTTAGGGAAAGGGGTTATGAGTGCCTGTTAGGAGGCAGATAGGATCCTCTGGTCTGGGTTACAAAGTGTCTGCCTGGCTACCATTATCAGAATATACAGCTACCACGCAAGACACAGGTAGCCCGCACATGACAACAGCCGACCACTTCCACCCAGTTACTTCACTTACATAAATAATACATAGCCTAAGATCCACTATGTATCGTATCGAACATTACTCAAGCCATTTCATTTTCAATTGGTTGAAAGAGAGGGGAAAGAAACGAAAACTAATAAAAGAAAAGCAAATGCATATACGTTCCAATTTCCTTTTAGGTTGCAACCAAGTGGGAGTGGCTGGCTTGTCTTGGATACACCTTAGACCAGATGTGGGACCCTTGGAACATGGGATCCCTCAGCATGGCTCGGGCGGGGACGGTGGAGTGCGAGTCCGGCAAAGACCATCATAGCTCTCACAATATATTACAGGCGCCCTTGCCACACCCATACTCGAACCGCCCGCGCCCACTGCCCACAGAGGGAGAGGTCGCAACAACAGCTGCTCGTGCCTCTGCTTAGTTAACAGGACAGCTGCGCATGCACGTGTCTGCTTGCAGTCGTCGCACGCGAGAGCTGCATCCACGACGTCTCCCCTGCACCAGCGAGTGGAAAGAAAATAGTAGCAGCAAAAGACAAATCTTTTTCTTAACATGGCATTTAAAGGCAAAAAGGAATTAATTGGTTCTGTGGTGATGCATGGGCAAGTATCGACTACTCAACATAAATGATAAATAAGTTTTAGAAAAAAAGTCAAATAAAACCGGTGATTATTAAGAACAAAGATTCCTGTATGCAGAATAGAACTGAAAAAATGAATCTGACCTTTTTTTCCTTTCTTTCCACCCGGGAGTTTTCAAGTGCTGCACAACTAATTCCAAGAAGTGAACCATGATGGGTAAGAAGTCCTCATACATAATCTAAACATAACAGCTAAACAAACTTGAAGAGTACTATGTGAGGAACCCTTTGTCTGAATACTTACAGAAACGTTTCTTTTTTTTTAACAATATTGTAATTTTGTCATGCTGAGCCAAACTTTAAATGTGCTGTATTGAAGTGTAAAAAAAGGTTATATTTCCATGTAGGGAGGTATAAAAAAATTTGATCCTTACTATAACAATGTAATCATAATATTTCCCTTTCCATTACTTTTCTCCAAACATCCAGACAGAGGGCCCCGGAACCTGTCATCTGAAAGGTTATCCAGTGAGGAGACTGTTACATACACTAGCGCAAAAACCAAGTGCTGTTTTATAATCAGACGACACTGTTGTACTATTGGTGATTTTGAAATCTGGATATTACTTCAATACGGCTTTAAATTTCTCTATGAAAAAAGGGGTTACTGAACCTTATTGACGTAGTATTCATGGATCATAATCACCAATTGTATCATATACAGTCCAGTGGGAATACAGGCAGAATAGATTTTTTTTTTTAATAATCATAATCATCAAACAGCGTCTACATGGAACGCACCTACCACCAGTGGATCTCTGCTAGACCTTACTGCACAAATCTTTAAGGAACACAACTTGATGTCAACCTGGCTTTGGAAAACAAGTCAACCAATCCGATAACAACGTGTATGCTTAGCACAGCCAATCACATATCAAGCCAGTCTGAGAGGAAGAAGTCCTGCTGATATCAAGTCAGGCCCCAAGAATTGCGGGTCTTATGTTGCTCCGCACTTAAAGGCATAAAGTACTCGGGTACAAGTTAAGCTGACCGGGGGTGAAGTGATTCACAGCATCGCTTTGTCTTGTCCCATTGCTTTTTGTTGTGGCAAGTTTTGAAGTTTTGCAAATGATCAAGAATAATACTTTGCAACTAGATTTTTTGTAATATCTAAATGTAATGGATAAAAAACGGACTTTGTACATTTTTGTTCCTGTTTTGATCGAGCTTTTGTTGCACTCGAAGCACTTAACACTTTGACATGAGAAGCAGACAGCAGAGGATCTCAATCCCACAGCATCTCAGCAAGTCCTCTTTGTGAATCAACCGAGAAATTAGGTACAGCGATAGCCATGGCCAGAACACTCATGCAGACACACAACAGACTATCACACGCATTGGTAAAGGAGAGGATCAACTGGGTTTTTGTAGGACTTACTTTTGAACTTTACATCCACTTCATATCCGCAAGCTGACACCTTACTGCAAAGCTAAACTATTTGTTTTTATCTTGCAAGAAGTGCCCCTGTACTGATCCTATCCATACCATATATAGGCAAACATTGCAACCATTCCCCCTTAGTACAATGCAAAACTGATTAGTATCTCTGGTGCTTCCATCAATATTATATATGAGAAAAAACTTGAGGCTTATATAGGAAAACACAAACAGTATGGAATCTGGCAGGAATTGCTGAGGTGCTGTAGGATAACAACTGGTGTAGGAGTGAGGTAGCTCAGGTGGCGTGGGGGAGGAGTGTCCCCGTCCCCACTCCACGTTCACAGACGCAGCGCGCGGCAGGCCTGTGCTGCATCAATCATCTTCTAGAGTCACCTGAGTGAAGTATTTCAATGTTCATGGTACTACAAAATCAGTGGGCATTTCATCTAGAGTATACATCATTTCCTGTTTTGCATACATTGTTTTGTTTTGTGAGTTCGGAATTTTGATCCCTGTAATAACATTTCAAACTTCCTTGTGGAACTGTGGTATGGTGTCCACCTTTTTGGAGTAGCGGAAACGTTGGTACTTGAGCGCATGCCAAGTCCCCCGTAGAGTCAGCCTAGGGTCTACTGACCTGAAGAGAGGTGGTATGTGGAGAGTGCTCACAAGGCTTTTATTGTATAGCATTTTCCATGCTACATTTATACTATTTTCCTTCATTAAAAAAAATTTAACAAAAAATTGCTCCAACAATGTATCAAAAATAAACTTTGCTATAACTTTGCGTACAAAAAAGACCATATTATAACAATGGTCCATTATATTCCACAAACTTTTGTACTAGTTAACTAAACAGCGGAGCCCTGATATCAGCAGTGCCCACACTAACTAGACGAGCAGACAACACCACTTCAACGTGGGCCACTGGGCTTAAGGTTGCCTGGTGTACCATGACTCGCCTCAGCTGGCCGCGAAATTGACTGGTGCGGCCAGCAGGTGTACACAGGGGGTCAGAACTCAACACAGGAGCCTCAGGTGCACATTTACAGATGCACACATATGCCTCCATGCACACATCATTTGCGCACATGTGGCTTGGGCACTACACAACACAACGGTCTCTCAGTTACTTGATGCACCTTTGTCACAACTCATGTCTGGGGCCCAGGGAGGGTGACGGGCAGTACTAGTACACATCACACTCATTGTATAACGACAAAGGTATTACCTGAATATCTTTTTTAATTGCAATCACTATAAGCATTTCACATCCGCTGTAAACAAAATCATAGTCTATGATAAACAAAACAAGACCCTACATATACATCAACGCAAATCAATCCAACAGCTACAATGCTAATACTCTACTCTTCAGACAATCCCCTGAGATCTGTGATGCGTTGGTCAAGCTCAGGTCAGCCGGCCTGGGCCCCAGAGGCAAAACAAGCAAGCAAGCGAGGTCAAGTGATCGAGGCCGCCGACACACCAGTCAGTCCGAAGCTCCAATATCTCCGTCTCTTTGGTATGTCGCTTGGGGCGTGGTGCTGGCGTGTGGGCGGGACTTTGTTACGATGTCGTTTCTCTAGTCGTGACCTCACTGCACCCGTGATGTTGTGGGTCCGCGACTGCCCCTCCCGCTGCTGGGGGCGGTTGACATCTGGATGATAGCTCTGATGCGACGCTGGGCTGACTGTAATTAGAAAATTATTTGCCTTTTAATAAGACTACAGAAATAAGCCTTGTGGGTGATGTATACTATCAGGAAAATGATGGAACACTGAGCAGAGTAGTTGATAAAAAAAAAAAATCCTTTATAAATTGAATTCCTCTCTAATATGACATTTCCCTGAACAACCCACCTGTACAGAGAAGAAGGGGCCTAAGATGTGGACGGTTGTTTCTTCTGAAGTTGTGGTTCCTTGTTGGGGAAGCTTAATCACCGAACCTGTCTGGCGCTGTAGATCACGTACATTTTGACCACCTTTACCAATTATGCGTCCAACCTGCAAATGACAGATTAGAAGTTCATTAATAACCATTTTCATACATTTTTATAAGCTCACCTTACAAAATAATGTGGTACTGTATACTTGTCAAATCTAAGAACAGAGAAATGACCACATCATATAAAGAATACATATGATGTCCTTCAGAATTAGCAAACAAATTCTACACTGGCAGAAAGCATTTTCCACAAAACTCACCTGTGATGACGGTACAATAATCTCTACAGTTAGTCGTACATCCCTCCACTCCTACACCATAGCCCTCTTCACGAATCTTCTCAAGATCAGGAACTGTGCTATGGAAGATGAAAATACAACCATCAGCCCTCATTTCACAGAAAACTCGCAATGTGTGTAATTCATGCATTAAAGGAACAGGCTAGAAAAACAACAAAATCATGTGCTATATTTTTGTCTGAAGACCCATGCTTCTCATCGAACTTCTCTTTGGGTAGGTGATCAGTTTGTTTTGTACTATCAACATATTAGGATGACACACCCAAGAGTTCTGTTGATTGCACACATTTTTAACAAATACTCAAAAGTTCAAGGATTGCTTCTAAGATTCTTACCTTCCACTGAGCTTCTGGTGTTCCTACTATGGTTACTTTTCTTTCCGTCTGCTCCGTGGGTCGCCCATCATCCTCAAGTGGGGCAATCTTTACGGATGCTCCACTAAATCGGATAATGTTACGGATATGTGACCCCTTAGTCCCAATAATGGCACCAACAGCAGAATTAGGGATGTATAGATATGCCATTTCCTGTAAAAAAATAAAAATAAAAATAGAAGCATGATTATTTAAAGCAGAGAGAGAAACCAAATGATTATTCAAAGCAGAGACAAACAGTTAACTATTTCCATTTCTGGAACAATGGAAGCATTTTCTAGCTAGTCCTGGAAATCTGGTGCTGCATATCTTACCTCGCATACCTCTGAAGCGTGAGAGCCTTGCTGGCCAGGAATAGGCGTGGGATAAAGTGGTGGATAGGAAGCAGGAGAAGAACCATACATGCCCATACTACCAGCTGCACCACTCCTCGAGGAAGGCCAAAACCTACTGTTGACATCATGGCCATCGGATGCAGGCCAGGAAACATGGCACTCTGGGAGCAAAGGCTTGCAAGTCGCTCTCGTAACTGTTCCTGAGGCGAGAACTGATCATGTTCTCAGCCTGTGCTATATCTTCAATATTACCCTGCAAAGAACAACAAAGATTTAGTACATTTTTCCTCAAACATTAACAATATAAAAAAATGCATAAAGAAAACTCTACCTAGTAGAAGTACTAAAGGACACAAGATTGATGCCACAGAACATTAAACATTTATTAGAGGGGTCATCCTATGTTGAACCTAACATTCAATCTGCTCTTTCTAGTTAGTCAAGAGAATATGAAATAATTTAGCAAATCGGTATAAAATATATGGCTATCTAAAGTTCTCCAGATAATATACATATTCCCTTCAACTTCACAAATTCCTAAATGGCTTATTGATAACTGTAACTAAAAAAATGGTAGGGTAAATACTTCTAAAATAAACAATTCCCATTTTGATTCATCACATATTTGTAGGGACTTCCAAGTGAGATAGCCTTTCAGGTTTTTAAAATTTCTACCATCTGTATATGTTTACTGAATCAACAACAAGTTTACACAAACATTCCTCAGCTTCAGTTCTTTTCAAAAAATATTTCTATATGCAATGTCAAGCACTTAAATATTAAAAATAAATTTCAAACAGGCAATACTGAGTCTATTATAACTAATTCCTGGCCACCAAAAATATAACAATATATTGCTAAATAACTGATTTATCAATTATTATTCACATCTTGGTACATCCACCTAAAATTTGGCTTGCCCATGGAGGGGGTTGTGCAATTCTAATACAAGACAAAATAAAAATTAATGGCTAAATCATCCCTGAAACTTCATATATAAATATTTTTTATTACAACTCCTTCCCAGGATTTCTTAACTTCTCTAGAGCAAACTGAAGCATAAATCCCCCTCAGATTCCGTTTCATACTCAGAACCCCTGCTATTACTTCACAAACCATACCTTTATAGTAATGATTCTCTCTAAGTTGAAGCTATTGATATCATTGATACTGGAGACGGTGATCTTGGTGCTAGTGTCATCCATGATTTTCTTGATGGTTGTTCCTCCTTTTCCGATGATGCGGCCAATCAGGTTGTTGTGAGCGAGAATCTTCAGGGGAACCTCTCTGCAAGAAAGAGTGATCGTGATAAAACTGGAATAATGTATCATTAAGAGGATGGACATGCACAAATGTAAGTGTAAATGTCCTGGTTGTAGTAAGAAGAGAGGAGAAAGAAGAAGAGAAAACGGTTTAGAAAAGTGCATAATGTTGCAGAAATTTTGGATCCAATTCACTGAATTTTACATGTAACACGTGTCATATATGCACCCAACAAATCCATGAAAAACTGACATATATCAGGGTTCCTATGGAAGCCTTAAATTCGAAAACAAAAAAGAAAGAGAGAAAAAAAAAGAAAAATTAGTAGAGATCTTTGTCTTTTAATTACATAATTGCCTGATCATACTTCAGTAAGAGCATACACCAACATACATATATGACAAAGTATAAGAAATGAAAAGGAAAATATTATTGTTTTTTTTACACAAGGTAACCCAAACAAATTTAGTGAATCTAGCTCTGAAACTGTTGTTTCTATCAAAATGAATATTAAGAAAAATATGAACCATTGATTAATTACATTTGGTCAAATTGCATTAGTACAACTATGTAATTCATTCTTACAGGAAAGAAAGAAATAAACAAGAGGAAAAGAAAAGAAGAGAGAGAGAAAAAAAAAGAAAGAAAAAACAAAACTTTAAACAGTATTATTTCACTGAACTAGCTTCATAGATTACTAGAGCACTGTACTGACAAAGGCACTAGCCACTCCTTTATATATTATATATATACCATATATAATACACATATACATATTACATATATATACAATATACATATACATATATATAAATATTAATATAATATATATAAATAACATATACATATATATAACATATATATATATACATATATATATACTTACTATATATACATAATATATATATACATATATTATATACATATATATATACATATATATATACAACATATATATATAACATATATATATAACATATATATATAACATATATATAAAATATATAATATACATACATATATATATATATACATACATATATATTATATATACATATATTACATCATATATACATAACATATATATAATATATATATTATACATATATATATATACATATACATATAATATATATATACATATACATATACATATAATATACATATACATATACATATAATATATATATACATATACATATACATATAATATATATACATATACATATACATATAATATATATACATATACATATACATATATATATACATAATATATATACATATAATATATATACATATACATATACATATATATATATATACATATACATATACATATAATATATATATATCATATACATATACATATAATATATATATACATTATACATATACATATAATAATATATAATACATATACATATACATATAATATATATACATATATATAATATATATATACATATAAATATACATATAATATATATACATATACATAATATCATATAATATATATACATATATACATAATAATATATATATACATATACATATAATATATATATACATATACATATATATATTATACATATACATATTAATATATATATACATATACATATAATATATATAACATATACATATAATATATATACATATACATATTATATATATACATATACATATATATATATATATATAATATATACATATATATAATATATATATATATAATATATATACATATACAATATACATATATATATAATATACATATATATACATATACATATATATATATATACATATACATATATATATATATACATATACATATATATAATACATATATATATAATATATATATATATACATATACATATTATAT